CCTTCCTTTTGCCTGTCCCAGAACTTCTGCCATTAGAGCCATCCTTTTAGGTTAGGAAACAAATCAGACATTGGCTTTGGAAGGCCACTGCTAACTGTACCTTTGATATCTGGCAGACAGAGCCCTGAGGGTATTTTCCAGCCCCCTCCAGCTGGATTGGAAGACAGACCATGGAATCTAGGTAAGTTTCACTGATCTGAACCTTGAGTCTTGCTGAGCCACAGTCTTCCTGGCTGTGAAACTGTCATGGGGCTCGGGGTCAAGGGGAGCATCCAGACATCTTCAGGACAGGCAGAGCAACTCTGCAACCTGGAGCAGCTTCTTGGAGGGGGGTGCAGAAAGAGATGGTGAAAACCCAGGGTCCTCAGACCCTGCAGCTGTGCAAGGGCATGGTGCTACACCCATCTCGGGTTACTGGAGTCTGAGCTACATCCATCTCGGATTACTGCAGTCTGGCTGGCTTTACTGCAGAGCTGTGTTCCCTCTGGTGCAGGTGGCATGGATGCTCTGCAGTGCCCAGCAGAGGTGCGTTGGGCAGCCTCCACTCTCCCTGCGTAACTGAAAGCTCTGCAGTGGGGGTGCAGGCCAACTCCGGGCTGGCTGCCAACAGGCTCTAGCAGACTGCGTCACAGCACAGACCTCCTGCCTGCAGGCGAGGGAGGAGCAGACAGCAAGGCCAGGAATTTGAAATGCGTCTTTGGAGTCCCCTCACTCCTCTTTCCCAAGCCCCTCTGTGCCATTTCATGTGGTGGCTGGGATTCCTTATTCCTTTGCCCTTCCTCTACCCTGCCCCTTGTACCCCTACTTACCACACTGCAGCATTTATGTCCTTGGTGGCTCCTCATACCAACTTCCAAACAAAGTTACACACTGCATGCCCTTAAGACACTGCTCTCTAGGGAGAGGCAGCCTGGTTGGCCTGATGAAGCGTTAGGTGTGCCAGTGGGTATCAGTGTGAAATAATGGAAATATCTGTGTTCAGAGACTCAACAGAGCTTCCACTTAGAGACCGTCCCCTGACACAGAACCAACAAGGTGCTCTTGGCATGTCAAGTTCACCTTTCTGCATCTTGATTATTTCTCCATCTGTAAAATGAGAACAATTATTACTCCTCTCTCTGTTTATAGAGTTTTGTATAAAGTACCAGTGGGATAATATAGGGCTTCATAAACTTTAATGTGCATGGGAATTACCTGGGGATCTTTTAAAAATGCAGATCCTGATTCCAGGTCTGGGCTGGGGCCCAAGATTCTGCATTTCCTACAAACTCTTAGGGTAATGGATGTCACTGGTCGAGAGGCCACTCTGGATAGTGAGGGAGCTAATAAATATAGGATAATTTGAACATTATGAAGCACCAGCAAAGGTAACATTTAAACTACTTTATGCATTTACCTTCTAAAAAGCTCATTTGCATCTTAAAAGGAATCTTCACATCTTTACTTCAAATGAATGTCATTTTAGGCACTTTGGATAGCCACTAGAGACAAAATGTGAAGTTAGGAAGAACAGATGATCATTTCTGTAGTCACTGGAGCTGGCTTCTTCTTTCTCTCCCTTTTCCTCCTCTTGCCCTTCCTCTTAGAGTGGGCTTTGAATTCAGAGGCAGATTCTTACTGTGGTGAACCTGCTGTGAAGCGGTGACCAAGGGTGTCGGGTCATTAGGCCAGTTGATGAACAAAGGAGGGATTGATGAAAAGCCACTGGTTTAGCAAGAGAAAGAGAATGTGTGTGCATTAAAAGGCATGTACAATAATGTTCATAGCAGCCCTATTCATAAAATCAAAATGCCTATAGACCAGAATAAATTGTGGTACATTCATAAAATGGAATATTACAAAATGATAAAAAAAGAACATCTTACTATAACATACACCTCCATGTAAGAATTTTATAGGCAATATGATGAGCAGAAGAAAATGAAGTTAAGCGCACATACTGCATGATTTCATTTATATGAAGTTCAAAATTAGGCAAAACTAATCTGTAATGGTAGATATGAGAAGAGGGTTGGCCTCTGAAGAAGTGTTGACCAAGAATAGGCACAAGGGAGCCTTCCAGGTGCTACAATGCCTTTTCATTGTTGATCTGGGAGCTTACACCACAAATTAACCAGGCTGGACTCTTTAAGATCTGTGCAATGTACTGTTTTGTGTTTTCGTTTGTTTTGTTTTATTTAGTTTTGCTTTTTTGAAACAGGGTCTCACTCTGTTGTCCAGGCTGGAGTGCAGAGGCATGATCACAGCTCAAAGGATCCTCCCACCTCAGCCTCCTGAGTAGTTGGGTCCACAGGCGTGCACCACCATGCCCAGCTAATTGTAAAATTTTGTGCAGAGACAGGGTCTCCCTACATAGCTCAGGTTTGCCTTGAACTCCTGGGCTCAAGCAATCCTCCCATTGTTGACTTCCAAAGTGTTGGGATTACAGGCGTGAGCCACTGCACCCAGCCAGTTTACTGTATTTTTGTTATACCTCGATAAAGAAAAAATTTAAAACTACAAAAAAAACCTAGTTCTAATTTTACCACCAAATTTCACACTTCTGGGCCCTTCTCTCTTTCTCTTCCACATCTTTTATAAAACAGAAGCCCCTGTTGGCCCCATCAGTCAACTTCCCTGATTGGCTCCCTGCTGGCTTCCCAGGTACTTTTTCTAGATCACATAACAAAAATAGAACCTGCCTTCTCATCACTTCCTCCCCGTGTGACTTCACAGACGGCTCCAGGCTGTGCTGTTTGCAGCTCACGAGCCCCTTTGAGCTCTAAGCCTGCTCTCTCTAGTGCTGTGTTTTTTGACCACCAATGCCTCTGCCTCCTCGGTGGTCCTGAGCTGCAAACCCATCTCTTCACACTGAGTCAGGTGTGAAGAGCTGTGTGTAGTTTGTAGTTTAATGCTTCTGTCCCATATTTGAGTTTCTCCAGGAAGGGTCTGAAAGTTGCGAGGTATCATTGAACTGCTGTCACGATAATTCTGCCTAACAAGGCACCCCAAATTCAGCATCTTCGAACAGCAGCCATTATTAGTTCTCAAGGTTATAGGTCAGCATGTGGCCCTTTTGCCCTGGGCCCTTCTCTGTTGCCCTCAGTTGGGCTCATGTGGGAGTCGTTGGTCAACTGAAAGAGGGCTGCTCCAGGGTGGCCTTGCCCACATGTGTGGTGACTAGCTGGCTGTTTTTTGGGGGACAGCATGGCGGGGGCATGCGTTTCTCAGGCTAATTTGTCTGGGTATCATCACTTGGTGCTGGCTAAGGGTCTGAGAGAAAAGGGAGAGTGCTCAAGCCTATGGAGGCCAGGCTTGGAACTGGCAAACCATCCTTTCCACCACATTCTATGGCTAAGTCAAGTCATAGAGCAGATTCAACGTGTCAGGAAACAGTCTATTTCTGGATTGGAAGAACCACAAAATCGCATTGCAAAGAGTGTGCATACAAGGAGGAGTGGAAAATCAGGACTACTTTTTTTTTCTGTGGCTGGGGCACCAAGACAAAGGCGTGGAGAATTAGGTCTTCTCCCCTCCACAACCTGTCTCTGTAGAAAGCAGCATTTATCCAGTAGATTGCAGCCCTGACGCGGACCCTACAAACCAGTCAAACGTGTTCTCTAGCCCTATTCCATGATTTATTCCTTTGGGGCTCAGCAGGCTGTTTTCATCTTGGCTGGTGAAACAAATGTGTGGCAATGTGGGTGAGCTCATAAGGAACAGTCTGAAATGTGGATTCTTGTCAAGAGTTATATAGACAGAGGGAGAAGAAGAGTGGGGGATAAACATAGATGTGGTCTTCCCTGGTGGTCTCCTGGGAAATTTGACTTAAAACACTCCTCCTATAAGTAGAAACATTTAAGATAGGAGACAGCTGTGATGTTTAAATACGCTATGTAATTTCTTTGTATAAGTAAGGTTGACTATCATTATAGGGAAAGTTCTCAGATTTTGGCTTACATCAGAATCACCTGGAAGGCTTGATAAAACACAGATTACTGGGGCTCCACTCCTAATGTGTCAAATTCAACAGGGCTGGGATGGGCCTGGTATTTTGCATTTCTCACAATTTCCTAGGAGATGATTATGCTGCAGGTCTGGAGCAATATTTTAAGAACCACTGCTTTAGGCCAATGCTCTTCAAACTAATATGCACAACCACTCCTGGAGGTCTTTTTATGTGGGTTCTCATTTAGTAGATTTAGGATGACACGTGAGAGTCTGCATTGCTAACAAGGGTCCAGGCAATGCTGATGCTTCCAGTGGAAAGATCCTACTCTGAGTACCAAGTTTTTAGATTTTGCTCCCCCCATCATTTTATTTTGCCTGCATAGATTGGGTGTTTTAGCATTCTGTTGGCTAGGTCCTTGGGTGGGGTTTGGCGGAGGGGAACAATAACCCATTAGGATGTTTGACAGGCAGCAGTGAGCATCAGATGGCTTTTTTGAGACTAGAGGCAGAGCTGGCTAGGAGGGTGCCTATTCTAAGTGCAAGAAGGACATTTTCTCAATTAAATCTAAACCTCTGCTGCCAAGAAGAAAAACGTAGCTGATGAAAGATGTATATTTCAAAGTAAGTGGACTTAAGAGTACTTCTCTGTAATAAAGATATTAGTTTGGACTTGTTTGCAAAATAAAAAATTTCTGGTCAGGAAGTAACACTAAGATATGAACAAAATTCCATAATTAAGTGGAATGAAGTCAGTTAAGAAAAGACGACACGAGCTATCTTACTCAACTACAGTGCTCTAGCATTACACACTCATATTACAGTTGGTGCTAGCAGTTCAACTTCCAAACTTTTATCAAGAATAAAAATCATCCAGTGGTGAAGAATAATAAGGAAAGGTATAAATACAATGGCAAATGTTGCACTTTCAATCTTAAGAATAATAATTTCCAAAATAAAATAAAGCACACTTTACCAGAATTGGACCTTATGCAATAAAATTGCTAACCGCTCTTTATTTTTTACTTTTAGAAGAGAGAGTCTCACTCTGTTGCCCAGGCTGGAGTACAGTGGCATGATCTCAGCTCACTTCAACCTCCACCTCCCATGCTCAGGTAATCTTCCTACCTCAGTCCCGCAAGTAGCTGGGAATACAGGCATGTATCACCATGCCCAGCTAACTTTTTGTATGATTTGTAGAGATGAGGTCTTGCCACGTTGCCCAGGCAGGTCTTGAATTCCTGAGCTCAAGTGATCCACCCACCTTGGCCTCCCAAAGTGCTTGGATTACAGGTGTGAGCCACCCTGCCTGGCCTTAGCCACTTGTTTTAAACACTTGTTGCTTTCCTATTGTCCCTGCCAGCCCTGATGATGAAATATTTGATTAATATTTTTATATTTTATGCAACATGAGTGGTGGTCATTAGCTAAAGCTTCCAGGAAGCCTTTTAGAAGTGGAGAGATCCAGTTGGCATGTACCTTTGACCTTTTGCACTTCTCATTCTTCTTCCTGCCTTGAACATGGATGAAAGTCAGAGGCAAAGCAGCTCTCTTATGGTCTCAAAGAATTGAACCTGAGGGAAAAGACCACTTGCCAAGGCAGAAGGAGCCTGGGGCAGTGATGACATTCTGGGTTTGCAGAATCAGCCTGGGGTAGCTGAACTCCATTCTTCTTGTAACATAAAAATAAACCCTTATGTAGTTAGACCACTGTGGCACTGTGGTCCAATTTCTTTTCCTTCCTTCCTTCCTTCCTTCCTTCCTTCCTTCCTTCCTTCCTTC